TGGTGCTGCTATTCATGTGTACACATATATTGATACATATGAATACACACATGTGTGTACACATGTGTAGGTCTGCATGCTTGTATGTAAGTGTGTATGTATGTATGCATGCATGCATGTATGCACACACTATGTATAGGCATATGTGTACATGTGCACTATCTCTTTATTTATGTATGTGTGTGGGTGTGTTCGCGCGAACTCTCTCTCTCTCTCTGGTCAAATATGCTCTCTGCTATTTCGTAGGTGTTCTTCGAGTATCTCTATCATCTACTACATATGTCATCTACATGCCTGTGCCAAGAACTCCTGACCCCGAAGCCGGGAACCTAAAGACCAAGCCGCCCGCCGAATTCGACCCGGAACCCAGAACCGGGATCCCAAACACCCAGAAACGTAATCCCAAAGACCCAGCGGCCTACCAAAACCGGCAGGGCCAATTTCTCTTCCAGTATCCGCTAGGACAACTGCAGTGCAAGCGCAAATTAGGGAAATATGGATATGGATAAAGAGACAAGAACGGCAATGGGGGGCTACGGGTGGCAACGGACGGCTACTGGAGGCAACGGGAAGCCACGGAAGGCCATGGAAGGCTACGGGAGGCAACGGGAGGCCACGGGAGGCCACAGGAAACCACGGGAGGCAACAAGATGCCACGAAAGGCCATGGAAGGCTACGGGAGGCAACGGGAGGCCACGGGAGGCCAAGGGAAACCACGGGAGGCAACAGGATATCACGGAAGGCCATGAAAGGCTACGGGAGGCAACGGGAGGCCACAGGAGGTCACGGGATGCAGCGGGAGGCCACAGAGGAACGGGGAGGCCACGGGAAGCAACGAGAGGCAACGGGAGCCCTCTGGGGACAACGGGAAGCATCGCCCCCGCAGGATTCGGGATCTGGCAACGCACTGACTAGCCCCCTTATATACACATTTGTTAATCAGCGGGGAACCCGAACAATGTGTTCTAGCATACTATGTGGTGCAATGTACGTGTTGCAACCTATGTGGTGCAATGTATGTGGTGCAATTAATTTCTGTTCGCAGTGAGTTGTCCACTCCACTGCTCGCGCAAACATTCCACCCACCCACCCGCAACTTGGTTTGCAAAATCTCTTAAGACCGTGACGGTGGGTACCACATGGCACTTAGCAACAACAGCGACGCCGACAACGACAGCGACAACGACGATGACGACGCCGCCGAAAACGACTACGACGACACCGACGACGTCTCCAACGACTTCGACAACAACGACAACGACGACGACGACGACGACGACGACACCGACGACGACGACGACACCGACGCCGACGACGACGACGACGACGATGACGACGACAACGACGATGACGACGCCGACGACGACGATAACGACGACACCGACGACGACGACGACGACGTCACCGACGCCGACGCCGACGACGACGACGACGACGGCGGCGACGACGACGACGCCGACGTCGACGACGACGAAGACGACAACGACGCCGACGCCGACGACGAAGACGACGACGACGTCGCCAACGAAGACAACGAGGAAGGATGGAGGACGACGACGGCGACAACGACGACAACGACGAGGGAGGAGGGAGGACGGCGACGACGCGAACGACGAAGAAGGAGGGAGGACGGCGACGCCGACGACGGCAACGACGAGGGAGGAGGTAAGACGACGACGACGACAACGACGACGACGACGACGACGGCGACGAAATAGGAGGGACGACGACGAGACGCCGACGACGGACGACGCAGACGAAGAGGGAGGAGGAGGAAGGACGACCACGGCGACAACGACGACGGAAACGACCACGACGCCAAAGAGGACGACGACGACGAACACGAGGAAAGATAGAGGACGACGTAGGCGACGACGACGACGACAACGACGCGGGAGGAAGAAGACGACGACGACGACGACGCAAGAGCGCGCGCACGCTTTTGTTGAAAATCCGTGTTGCGAAACCTTGTGTTTTTTTTGTAAGTTTTTTGGACACACGATTTTGAAATCCTTCCGAAACCGATGGGTTTTGAAGGTTTTCGGCATACGCGCGCGACGACGCGCGCGTCTGCACTTCGTCACATTTTTTGCAGGGGATTCTCGCGACGGCACACGCGCAAGGGCGTTCGGCTGCTTTCGACATGAGCGCGCGCGAAGCCCGTTTGGTAGCATTTTGTGAAAATCTTGAAAAACCTATGGTTTTCTTAAGATTTCGCAAGAACTCGCGCGGAAGCTTTTTTAACAACTCTGTGTTGCGAAACCCTGTGTTTTTGTATGTTTTTTGGAAACTCGATTGCGAAATCCTTCCGGCACCGAAGGTTTCTGAAGGATTTCGGCATGCGCGCGCGACGACGCGCGCGTGTGCACTTCGTCCCATTTTTTTGCAAGGGATTCGTGAAAACATGTCATGTTAGAACAAAAAATGTCACCGCATAGTGTTTTAAACAAGGGAACCTCAGGGGGGGGAACCGGCCTAGCTGGGATGACACGATTTCATATTTAAGATGGACGAGTGTGCAGAATGTAGATATATATATATATATATGAAATCATACTATCCCAAAGGGAACCGATAAATCCGGGGGGGAGGGGGGTATAATCTATTAATCTTTTAGAAAGGAGAATCTGCATGGCGCAATCTAGGTGGTGCTATACATGTGATGCAATTTATGTTGTGCGATCTGTAGTGCGACATCTGTGGTGCGATCCATATAGTGTAGCTCACTTTGACTGTCTTGAAGCTGTCCTCTCCGCTGCTCGTGCAAGCATCCCACCCTCCCACCCGCAAGTTGGTCGCAAAACCTTTTAAGACCTTGACGGTAGGTACCAAATGGCACTTGGCAACGACACCGACGCCGACGACGACAGCGACAACGGCGACGACGACGCCGCCGACACCGACTACGACGACACCGACGACGTCTCCAACGACTTCGACGACGACGGCAACGACGACGACGACGACGACACCGACGACGACGACGATGACAACGCCGACGACGACGACGATGACAACGCCGACGACGAAGACGACGACGCCGACGACGACGCCGACGACGACGACGAAGACGACGACGACGCCGTCGCCAACGAAGACGACGACGCCGACGACGACGAGGGAGGAGGGAGGACGACGACGGCGACGACGACAACGACGAGGGAGGAGGCAGGACGGCGACGACGCGAACGACGAAGGAGGGAGGACGGCGACGCCGACAACGACAACGACGAGGGAGGAGGGAAGACGACGACGACGACGACGACGGCGACGAAATAGGAGGGACGACGACGAGACGCCGACGATGGACGACGACGTCGAGGGAAGAGGAAGGACGACCACGGCGACGACGACGACGGAAACGACGACGACGCCAAGGCGACGACGACGAGGAAAGACAGAGGACGACGACGGCGGCGAAGACGACGACGACGACGGGGGAGGAGGGAAGACGGCGACGACGACGACGACACAAGAGTGCGCGCGCACGCTTTTGTTGAACATCCGTGTTGCAAAACCTAATGTTTTTGTATGTTTTTTGGACACACGATTTTGACATCCTTCCGAAACCAATTTTTGAAGGATGTCGGCATGCGCGCGCGACGACGCGCGCGTCTGCACTTCGTCCCGTTTCTTGCAGAGGGTTCTCGTGACGGCACGCGCGCAAGGGCGTTCGAAAGATTTCGACATGCGCGCGCGCGAAGCCCGTTTGGTAGGTTTTTTTCTAGAACAACTATGTTTTCTTCAGACTTCGCAAGAGCGCGCGTGCACGCTTTTGTTGAACATCAGTGTTGCGAAACCATGTGCTTTTGTATGTTTTTTGGGAACTCGATTTTGAAATCCTTCCGAAACCCAAGGTTGTTGAAGGATTTCGGCATGCGCGCGCGACGACGCGCGCGTGTGCACTTCGTCCCATTTTTGCAAGGGATTCTTGGAAACTTATGATATCTAATGAACGAGTGCGCGCGCATAATACTTGTTGCAAAGGATGGCGGATGGCGGGGGGGAATGATACCGGCCTGGCTGGATAGTATGAGTTCATCGTTAGGATGGACGAGTGTGCAGAAAACAAAAATCGCAATACCCCAGGGGGTACCGTTAACTCCGGGGGAGGGGCAGAGTCTGTTCTTTTCCCCAATCAGAGTTTGCCTCTGTAGGGGTCCTATAGGACCCCTATAGGACCCTTAAATCCGCTATAGCGGATTTAAGGGTAGGTGAAGTGTGCCGCCGATTCGGTGGCCGGGTCCAGGTGCCCAGGTGCCCGGGTGCCCGGGTGCCCGGGTTCGCCGCCGATTCGGTGGCCGGGCCCGGGTGCCCGGATGCCCGCGGGTGCCCATGGTGCCCGGGTTCGCCGCCGATTCGGTGGCCGGGCCCGGGTGCCCGGATGCCCGGGTGCCCGGGTGCCCGGGTGACGGGTGCCCGGTGCCCGGGTGGGTGCCCGGGTGCCGGGTGCCGGGTGCCAAGTGCATAGCCCTGTATCCCTACCGCCCTATAGCCCTATAGCCCTATAACCCATATAGCCATATAGTCCATATAGCGCCCAAGAGCCCATATAGCCCTGTAGCCCTGTAGCCCTACAACCCTAAAAAGATTATGATTGGAGTTTTTCTCTGGTATCATTTTAGAAAAGGAAAATCGATGTGGGGCAATCCATTCTTATTTCTGAAAGGAGAATCAATCACTTGCACAACTTGAAGCTGTCCTCTCCGCTGCTCGTGCAAACATCCCACCCTCCCACCCGCAACTTGGTCGCAAGAACTCTTAACACCGTGACGGTGGGTACCAAATGGCACTTGGCAACGACACCGACGCCGACGACGACAGCGACAACGACGACGACGATGACGCCGCCGACAGTGACTACGACGACACCGACGACGTCTCCAACGACTTCGACGACAACGACAACGACGACGACGACAACACCGACGACGACGACGACGCCGACGCTGACGACGACGACGACGACGATGACAACGCCGACGACGACGACGACGCCGCCGCCGACGACGACGACGCCGACGACGAGGACGACGACGACGACGTCGCCAACGAAGACGACGACGACGAGGGAGGAGGGAGGACGACGACGCCGACGACGACAACGACGAGGGAGGAGGCAAGACGACGACGACGACGACGACGGCGACGAAATAGGAGGGACAACGACGAAACGCCGACGAAGACGACGAGGGACGACCACGGCGACAACGACGACGGAAACGACGACGACGCCAACACGAAGAGGAAAGACAGAGGACGACGACGGTGACGACGACGACGACGAGGGAGGAGGGAGGACAACGACGACGACGACAACGACGCAAGAGCGCGCGCACACGCTTTTGTTGAAAATCCGTGTTGCGAAACCTTGTGTTTTTGTATGATTCTTGGACACACGATTTTGAAATCCTTCCGAAACCGAAGGTTTTTGAAGGATGTCGGCATGCGCGCGCGACGACGCGCGCGTCTGCGCTTCGCCCTGTTTTTTGCAGATGATTCTCGCGACGGCACGCGCGCAAGGGCGTTCGAAGGATTTCGACATGCGCGCGAGAGAAGCCCGTTTTTCTTCTGTTTTTATTATACAACATGTTATTTAATGGTTTTCGTAAGATTTCGCAAGGGCGCGCGCGCACGCTTTTGTTGAACATCAGTGTTGCGAAACCATGTGTTTTTGTATGTTTTTTTGGAAATTGATTTTGAAATCCTTCCGGAAACGAAGGTTCCTGAAGAATTTCGGCATGCGCGCGGCGACGCGCGCGTGTGCACTTTGTTATTTTTGTTTGCAAGGGATTCTTGAACACGTGTGATTTTAGATGAACGAGAGTGCGCGCATAGTATTTGTTGCAGAGGACGGCGGGGGTGAGTGATACTGGTTTGGCTGGGATAATATGAGTTCATACTTAGGGTGGACGAGTGTGCAGAATAACTGTGAAATCGCAATACCCCCGGGGGGATCGTGAACTCCTGGGGGGAGTGTCGAGTCTATTCTTCTTTGGGGAAGGAGCATCTACACATGGTGCAATCTATGTGGCGACGGGCGGCGAGGCCATGCAGCGCAAGGCCGAACCAACGCAACAAAAGCAGTGCACATCAAGGCGATGCAATGCCACGTGCAGTGCGCGCGCGGCCCCAAGAAACCCTCGCAAGAACCCCAACCCTGAAAACCCGCGCGCGAGGTGCACCTGAGGGGAGAACCGGAGCACCCTGAACGCGGCCGCTCCTTCCCCGGCTGCGGGAAGCCACCGCGCGGAGCGCGGAGCTAAGAAACCCAGGACACCCTGACGAAAAGCAGATGGCTTCTTGATGAGCGCCCCCACTGTAATGCAAAACGCTGCAGCGTAACGCAGGCCCAGACGGCGACGGCGACCTCACAGCCGCCAGACCGACGGGCAGGCCCAGCGCGACGGGGCGGCGACGGCGACCACGTGGCCGCCGAGCCGACGGGCAGGCCCAGAAGGCGGGTTGGCGAGGAGGCGGCGACAGGGCCGCGATGGCGACCACACAGCCGCCTGACCGACGGGCAGGCCCAAGTCCTTGGACAAGACATGAGAACGCCTACGTGCAAACACTGTTTCGGGATCTATATATGTACATATATATAATCATGTATATTTAATGTTCATAAATGTATGCGCACGTATATGCATATATATATATATATGTGTATATATATATATGTGTGCACACATCTCCGTTTGTATAACGTTTCGCGACCCCTGGCTCTCTCGGCTCAAGATGGCTCCGAGAGGGCAGAGAGCCTTCGAGGAGACAAGATGATCAAGACAGCCCATGGCAGAGAGGCCTCCTAGACAGCATGTCCTGAGAGGCCCCCTAGACAACCCCAAAATTGCTTCCCAGACGGCCAAACGCTGCGCCAGGACGGCCCAGGAGGGCCCCAAAACGGCCTCAGCGGCGGAGCTTGCCGCAAGCAGCTGGACAACTCACACTATGAGAACCACGGCATTCCCAACTGTGTCCCCAAAAGCCCTCCACGGGGACTCTCCAGGAGCGCGGATGGGCGCACTATGTGGTGCAAAATTGTTCTCATTGCGCCCTTGATCCGCAACACGGGTACGGTGGAGGGATGGGTCGAGGGCCGCATGATCCGCTGCCCCATGTGTGCACAGGGCGTGCTGGGCGTGCTGCAACAGCAGGCACCTTCGGCCTGGCTCTCCAACGCATCTCAGCAAACGTTTCAGCCCATTTTGCCACTACCATCACTCGTCGTCCAAATCGTTCAAGTGGCCCACGGGCGGAAAGGCGTCCCACGGGGCACGAGACGGCCCAGAAGGCTCCAGACGGTGCCACGATGGCTCAAGAGGGGCCCCATACGGCTCCGAGGGGACCCCGCGAGGCCTCCAAGACAATCCCATGCGCCCCAAGATGGCTCCACTGGGACCCCCAGACTGCCCACATCAACGACAACATATGGCTCCCGCACGTTGTCACAGATTTGCTTCGCGAGACTCCGTGTGCGGCATGCGGCTCTCGCATGCGAAGGACGGCCCGAGGACGGCCCGAGAGCGCCGCGAGACGGCCCAAGAAGGACCCAGGAGGCCCCCGACGACAACCGGAGGCCCCGCGGGGACAACCCGAGGGAGCCCCAGGATGGCCCACGCAGGCCCCACAGAGCGGAAGAGATCCCAACGAGGTCTCAGACAATGACATCATTTCCTACTCTGAGTTCTTATAAGCGTCGGGGGGGCGTCACCCCCGCCGACAGCCCCGCATCGACCCCCGTCGCGGGCAGCCACCGCGCGCCGAAGGCGCTCCGACCCCCGTCGCAGCGCGACGACGAGGCGAGGTTGACCCCCGTCGGGGGGATGCCCTCCCCACGCTTATTAAGAGACCCAGAGTAGACTCGACGCTGGTGTACAGGGCGCAGTGTGCTGACAGTACGGCCCTCTGTGGGGCCTCCAGGGCAAACAGCTGCGGAGGCGGGGGAGCGTTGCTGCAACCCCGTCTCTAAAGCCTGTGATCAACTGTGTACGCAGCTGTCTTGCCAGGAACGGAATACAGAACGACGTGGCGCCGTGGCGCCGTCACCGTCGTTGCCGCCACCGTCGCCATCCCTGACGCCGCCGTCGTCGCCGCCGTCGTCGTCGCCGTCATCGTCGTCGTCGTCGCCGTCGTCGTCGCCGTCGTCGTCGTCGCCGTCGTCGTCGTCGTCGTCGCCGTCGTCGTCTTGCCAGACCGATCTTCGTAAGAGAGCCCCGCAACTTTGCCCCAGGAGTCCCGCGAACGGCACGACAGGGAGGCCGCCAAGAGACGCCACACAAAAGGCGCCCAGGACCAGCCCGCGAGGCCCTGGGAGGGGCCCACATACTGCTTGAGACGTTCCCCCCAAGAGCGTCCGCTCCCTGTCCTCAGATCGGGCGTGGGCAGGACGGGGTGCACTTTTTCTTATTCGGCGTTTCGACATTGGGCGGAAGGGGGGGGAAGGGGGGGGGTCTGGCTCCCGACCTCTGCTTCATGCGACTGTTTGGAACCGTGCGTCCTCTGGGAGGGCTCCACCTGCTTGCAGGCGCCCCAAACAGCCAAGATCTACTCCATGGAGGGGGGGGGGTGCGAGGGCCCGCAACGATCGGCGGGCGAAACGATGAATAAGACAACGATCACCTGGGTTTGGTGGGACCTGGTTTAGTGTATCGGGGGACGCCCCCCCCCCCCACCCCACCCACCGCCCCATTCCACTAACTGGAACTGCCGTCCCACCCCCGAAAAACAATAGCTACGGCAGACCTGGTTTAGTGATTTTCATCCATATTTTGGACTTAGGGGCCCAATTACTTACCGGCTCCCCTTCACCGGGGTTCTGGCTATACCCGAACAGAGGGCGGCGGCGACTCTTCGGAGGCGTCCGCGAGGTACCCTAGATCCCGCCTGGGATTTCAACCCCTCCCCTGGCGTCGAGCGCGAAGACGGGGAGCAAGATCTTGCACGGTCGTGGGAAGCATGGTAGAAAGAAACGGCAGTGCGGCGGCCCCTCTGGGGCCATGCAGGCTTTGGGCAATGATGAAATGCCGAGAAGGCATAAGGTTTGCGTGTTCGGGGAAAGGAAATCTGGGTAGGAGTCAGATGGCAACTTAGGACGGTCTCAAGTTGATTCGAGCAGACGAAGACTACATTTTAACCGAACAGAAAGGAAACTGGCGTGTGGCTCTGCAATGGAAATGCCAATTGTGCCAACTCCCGAGCCCGAAGAAGACTGTACACGCACCGTGCACTAGAACTTATTTGTATGTATATGGTACGCAGAATCTGCTCGACCAAAGTCCGTTCAGGAGGACGGCAGTGCTGTGCATCACTTGGCCATTCCTACTGGGCTGTCCGTCCAGAATTCTGCATCACCAGGGCAAAGGAGAGGCGCGGCCTCGCTTCTGATATTGACCCAGCATGACATGCCAGGGCCATTTTCACGCGTCTCCCTGAGCGCGTGAATGAGCCAAAATATGTTGCTGTGGGATCCGATGAACACTTCTGCTTGCACCATCGCGTCCATGTCCGCCAACAACTCGTACGTCATGTTTGCGATCGAGCCCGCCTGTTGAATTGCGAGGTCCGCCACTTGCCTTTGTGGCGACAAGAACTCGTACTGGGAGCGCGCCGCTTTCAAATAATCGACGGTCAACTGGTTTGTATCCGTCATCACGTACATCGTACGAATCCCGCTGGCACCCTTGATGAGTTTGTCCGCGTACTCGAGATATTTATCGATACCCACACTCTTACGCTCGTCGTTGCCCATGAGGCCTGTGAGATCGAAAGACCGATATTGGATTCCAAATGTATGGCGCGCCTCGAATGCCGGCGTTATTGCCATCATGTTGTCCTTCGTGCTTGGTTTCATGCGCAAAGCGTACTGCGCTATGTGGCCCCAAACCCAATTCCTTGACACACCTAGAGAGGTAGCTACATCGTCAAGAAAGGTCCCTGTACTCAACGGGAGGAACTCTTTCGCCTTACTAACCCTGATCGGCGTCCCCGTGCAATTGGTCACTTTCTCATAATAGCAGTCTAAACCAGCTTCGGGATCACACAAGCCTGGGTCGTTGTACCTGAATGGGCCACTCGGGAGCCATACCTGTCCATGCTGCAACACCCACACGAAAGAGTGCACCCACGTGTTCAGAGTGGAGGCGTAACCACCTTTGTGGGCGATCACCTGATGAATCGGGCGATTTTCACAACCATACTGATGACTATCCAGACACTCATTCAAGCGCTGATCCGCGCGCTTTCCCTCTGTGTTATCCGCGCGCAAGCATTCGAGAAATCGACCAGCATCCGAGGGGTGGGTGCTCAGCGTAAACGGTCGAGAAGGCTCAAGAATAAATGCAGTGCTCGACGTAAGCGTGAGCAATGCGAGTGGGCTGGCACAACAAATACGATACATTCCTGTGCCGGGTGTCAGATATGTCGTGAAATCAGATAGCGCCTGCGCCGCAACGCTTGAACCCAAATTGCAACGGCAATGCGTCGGGCTCATGGCTGGCAGCCTAAACTCTCACCCCCGCCAAAGACGATTTCAACACTCACATCTCACTCGCAGACTCCTAGGCGTCACAATACAGCTTCCACGGGGCCATCATCATCCTTAACGTCATCATCGTCAAGATGATGATGACGATGACGATGACGATGATGACGATGATGCTTTTGATGATGCTGCTGATGATGATTGACGGTGACAATGCCGATGACGATTACGATGCTGATGCTGATGCTGATGATGATAATGACGATGACGATGCTAACGATACCGATAACGATGACGAGAACGATGGCGATGATGATGATTATGATGATGATGATGATGACGATGCTGCTGCTGATGATGATGATGATGACACTGATGATGATGATGCTGATTATTATGACGATGATGATGATACTGATGATGATGCTGCTGCTGATGATGCTGCTGCAGATGATCATGATAAGCATGACGACGGAGACGACGATGACGATGACGATGATGACCATCATCATCATCATCACCACCACCACCATCATCATCATCATCATCATCATCATCATCATCATCATCATCATCATCATTATCATCATCATCATCATCATCATCATCATCATCATCATCATCATCATCATCATCATCATCGAGGTGGCCGCGCCCCACTCTCCTCCTTCACCTGAGGCGGCTCGGCGGCGGCGGCGCGCCTCGCCGCGCGCAGGGCGCCTGTGAGCGCGGGCCATGGCGGGGACTGCGCCGCCGCGCCAGACTGCCCCTGCGGGAGGGAGGGGGAGGAGGAGGAGGAGGAGGAGGAGGAGGAGGAGGAGGAGGAGGAGGAGGAGGAGGAGGAGGAGGAGGAGAGGAGGAGGAGGAGGAGGAGAGGCCGCGTCCAAGGATGAGGAGGAGAAGGGCGAGGAGGAGGAGGAGGAGAAGGAGGAGGAGGAGGAGGAGGAGGAGGAGGAGGAGGAGGAGGAGGGCCGCGGCAGCGGCGACGGCCCTGGAGGCCTCCGCCGCCACCGACGCTCCTGCCCTGCGCGCCGTGCCCGCGTTCCCTGAGACGAAGCCAGGGCGAAGGCAACATCGCGCGAGGATACATTGAGAAGTTCTGAGGCCCTGCGGCTCTGGAGGATGTCTCGGGCGCCGCGGCATTCTCAGAGCGTTCCCGCACGCTCTGAGAGCGTTCTGGAGCGCCCTGGAACGGCTTGATCCTCGTCCTGCATCCCCCTCGAAATCAAGCGCAAGTTCTTCCCGCGACGTGGCGGCGCCCCAGGACCCCAACAGATCAATGTGCTCGCGCCGACATGGGCGACTGCACCCACAACAGGTCGCTCTGTGGGCCGCGTCTCGCGCGCCGACCGCCGTTCAAAACTCGCGTTTGACTTCGAGGGGGGTCGCAGCCCCGTCCGATTTCCACACTTCGCGACGGGCTCGAAGGACTCGCAGTGCCGTCGAGGGCGGCGCCGCCCCGCTCCGGAACCGCCACGCCTGCCGCTCTGGGAGCGCGCCCCGGGGCGGCGCGGCGCGGAGGCCGCAGCCAGCGCGGCGCGGCGGGAGGACCCGCAAGGGAGGCCCCGGCACCAGTGACACAGCTACCGGCGGGCCGGAGCTCGGGGTCGGCCGGGGCAGAAAGTCGGGGATGGGTAGAACTCCCTGTGGGGAAACGTGGTTTAGTGCAACCGACCTCGGGCCCAAACCTGGCGGGCGCAAGCCGCTAGCCGGGAAAAGGACGGCCGCGGCGCCGTGTCGAGAACCTGGAAACGGACCATGCACAAGTCGACGTGTCAGGGTGGGGGTTCTGTCCACCCCCGATGAAGCCTGACGGGGCCCGCAGAATCTTTATGGTCGAGGCCAGGGTCGACGGACCTGGGTCCGAGGACGGCTCGGACGGCCGTGTCGGCGAGGGCTCGTCGCGCGCCCTCGATGCGGTCGGCAGCGTCGAGCGCTGTCGGGGCTGCGCCCCGAGACGGGTGCCCACTGCGGCGAGCGAGCGTGGCGCTTGAGGGGCGCGGGGTCGGACCTTCGACGACGCTGGCGCCGACATGGAAGGGAACCTGCGAGACGCCATGAGCCATGGGGAGGAGCAGGGGCAGGCGGAGAAGGAGGATGAGGAGGATGAGGCTGATGATGATGAGGAGGAGGAGGCGGAGGAGGAGGAGGAGCAGGAGGAGGAGGAGCAGGAGGAGGAGGAGGAGGAGGAGGAGGTGCCGCGTCCAAGGATGATGGTGATTATGATGATGCTGATGCTGATGCTGATGCTGATGATGATGATGATGATGATGAGGAGGAGGAGGAGGAGGAGGAGGAGGAGGAGGAGGAGGAGGAGGAGGAGGATCTGATCTGCGAACCCGTGGGGACCAGGTCAAGCCTGGGCACTTCGCAGACCTCAAGCCAGAGGGAACTTACCACCACTTTTGAGGGGCAGCCCCCGAGCCAGCCTGGACAGGACCTCTTTCCCGGCTGTCGAGGGGAGACGGTCTGTCTTACAGGGCTTGGCAAGGCTCTGAACATTCCTGGCACGAGAATGGGCACCACAGTGCTCACAATTCAAAGCGCCACGCAGGATTTTCAGCCTGTGAATGCTTGCGCCAGAGGGGTACAGGGGATGGGCAAGCGGGTTAGAGGAGAGGTGGGTAGGGCCAAGACAGGGACCATGGCAGAAGTTCTGGACACGGCCCGTCAATTTGAAATTGCGCTCGCACACCTGGCAACGCAAGAGAAGGCGCCTGCAAGATGCGGCTCATGGCCGGCACTCCGCAATCTCAGCTCCCGAACCTGCCGCGCAGGGAGGGGCGAAGGACGCGGGGGCGGGCGGCCGAGCCTATCAGCAGCTCTCCTGGGATTCTGCTCCATAACCTCCCCGTGCACCGCCAACAGGCGGTCTAGCGCGTGGGAGGTGACACGATCAACGAATTGAGTTACTTCAACCTGCTCTAATGTAGGGGCCGCCTTCTCAGCAGCCCATCCCGCAAAATAACCAGCACGCCAATGCAGGAACAACTCCTCTTCTCCGATGGCGAATTGGGCCCGCTGAAGGCCGTCGAGTGACTTTTGGTCCATGGGGCCCCCCACCCTACCAGGACCGCGATTATCCAGGGCCGACCAGATCCGAACCCACATATCGAGCATCGTACACATAGCAACTACCTGAGTTCGTGGCTGCCGCAGCCCCTTGACGAGGGGCAGGTAATCATAGTGGCGCAATAGACCATCCATAGTATGACTCGCAACACTCAGGGAGGCATACAATTCAGCACGAGGGCTAGACTGATCAATGGGGAGAGTGCCATACAAAATCATACCCAACTGTAAGGAGAGACCATCAGGAGTCCCAAGACTAACAATAGACCATCCACAACGTCGGAGCAGTTTATCAATAGCATATTTACCACCAGAGCCATCCAGGCCCCACACGCCTCCAGGATCCCGTCGTTGAGCCCTCAGGGTGCCCCAAATCCACGCGAGAGCCCGAGCAGGAGGAAGGTGACCACAGGTGGCATCCAAACTAGGCACCCCGCGAGTGAATAAGGCACTTTGGTACTCACTGCCGGCGATGCTAGGGTCGGTCAGGAAAGCTTTACACGGGCAATCCCAACCACGATGCAGAAGGGTTTCGTGCTCATCTCCACATCGGAAGCACTTCCCTGATGTGAGATATCCACGATCATGAAGCCGACCCTCTGGCCAGCATCCTCCAGCAGTGATGGTGGTCAAAAGAGCGGCGCCCTTGGAAGTCGCCGTGGTCGAGCAACTTCTTATGATCCGCACGTAATGCAGTGAGGTGAGCTCCTGAAGCTAGACCTCGGCCACCAAACTGAAACCTTGGCCCATGCAGAGGCAGAGTAACTTGCATGCGCGGCAACAGTTACATGACAACGAAAGACGCCAACATCAGTCATCCTGAGAGGTGCACTGCCTTCAACGAGCCATTCATATACATGGAGGGGTTGCCAGCCTAATGCGAGAGCAGTCGCGTCCAGAGCAGCGATGGGTCCACGCGCCTGTCGCCGGCGATCGGACGGCGGCGTCTTGCCTGTCTTGTCGCGCAGAGACTTCCAAACTCTACGGGCGCCCGCTCGACGGCCTCCAGAAAGCGAAACCCGCGCCTCCGAAATCAAGGTGATCTGCTCAACGCGAAGACGATATGTCTGATCATCTTTGGTGTCGCGCAACGCTCTGAGCACACTGCTAACGCGCGCTCCTGTAAACCAAAACCCTGAACGAGAGGCTGCCGTAAATCTGAACTGCCTATCAGCTCCAGTAGGTCGTCCCGAGAGAGCGTGCCCCAAAGATCCGACTGCCCACGTCCCCGATTTGAATGCCATGCGCGAAGCACGGCACAGCTTGGCAATGTGCGACAGCTTGCGACCGCGGCGAAAGGACATGGCTCGACGTTGCTGAAGCTTCCAAGTCGCCATTCCCTCATGAGCTGACGTGGCAGAGCCTCGGTCCTTCGCGCCTGAGGCAGGACTGATCAAAACATCATATCTCTGAAACTCGTCCTGCAGGAGCCGCTCCAGCTCGACGGGCGAGGCCGCCGCCAAGGACTTGGAGCTGACTCGGCATCCAAGTTCAGAAATATCATGCTGAAGCTCAGCAGCGTCTGGTGGCAAGTAGCGACAGAAGAAGGCGGTGGTACCTTGCAGATACTGGGCAATGTCATCCACATGTGGCCTGATATGAACACGTGCATGTTGGAGGTCCCCCGGGCCTCGAGGAATCCTATTGTGAGCCTTCTCCAGAACCCCGTAGAGGTAGCACATGGCCCAAGGCATGCCCTGACTGCGCCCCGCCAAGATCGACTCCCCAGCCGCGAGCCCTTTCGAGCGACTTCCAGAAACCTCCAGGAGCCTCGGAACGGCGTGAATGAAGAACCCCAAATGCAGCAAATGACCGGGACAGCCTTGGTTGGAGGCGAAGTGCAACAACTTACTGGGGGAAGACGGAATCGAAGATCTTCTCGAGGTCCCAATGGAGGGCGCAGGATTGAAATCCGCACGCGTGGGCCACCTCATGGGCCAGCTCCCTAAACAGCGCAGACTTCAAGGCCGACGATCCTGTGACAGCG